CTCTCTCTCCCTCTCTCCTGGCAGGCTCCATGGGTTTCCAAACATTTCGTCACCGTCTCCTCCTGACCTTGGTGTGCAAGGAACGAGCCACATGGCTTGTTGGTTCCAGCAAAGCCAAGGGGGCGCCCGCCTGGGCTGGGGGAGGGTGGCACCCTACTCCGGAGTAGAGGTGAGGTCCGCTGGAAATCCCCAGCCCCGGCCGCCCCCGGAGGTTTAAAGACGCCTTCCTCGGCCTTATTTGGTCGCAGGAAGTGGGCGGCGCTGGGCCTGCTGGCTGAGAGGCCGCCCCGAGACAGTGGTGCTGATGAAGTGGTAGAGCTGGTTCCTGCTCCTCGCGGTGCTGCGCGCGCCTGCTGGCTGCTGGGCACTCTGTGCACCCAGCCTTGAGTTGTGCAATCCTTTGTAGCACGCCAGAGTCGTCCTCCTTCGTTGTTGCCTCTCGCCCTCTTTTTTTTTTCCAAGCTGTGAGCTCAACCGATGAGTCAGAGCCGTGCAATCCTGACACTGCATCGCAGGACTGGGGGTGACTCGAAGGGAGGGAGAGCGCTCGAGAGTCGGACAGCACGGGCGCGGGGTGCACCGAGGTTTCTGCGCCGTCAGCGAGCGGGGGTGACAGCCTGCACGTCCCGCCAGGGCCCTGCCAGCAAACTTCCCAGCTTAGGGAGGCGCAGGCTGGCGGAAGCCCCGCGAACGCCGCAGGGAGGCGACGGCGCCTGTTTGTTTTTAAAATCGGTGAGTGCGTGCAAGCGGCTGGAGTCCCGGAGACGACCGAAGGCGGCGGCCTGCAGCGGAAGGGGGACAGTCGAGGTCGGAGCTCCAGACAGAGCGGGGTAAGTTGGGGTGCCGAGCCGGTGCCCAAGCCCTGCACGCGGCAGGGGCAGTGAGGGGACCCGAGCAGCGTGTGCAAGCAGTGGCCTCCCGCCCCGCGGGCTGCAGCTCTGCAGGCACGGCCTGGAGCTGAGGCGCAGGGCCTAAGGGCCGCCCCGCGCCAACTCCTGCGGCCTGGGCAGCAGTGGAGCAAGTGTGCGGGGATATGCGTGGACCGCCAGCAGCCCGCCCCCGCGCGGCCAGTAACCCGCGCCCGCCCGTAGCTGCGAGTGCGGCGCAACCTCCCCGTGTTTGTGCTGCTACGTAGCTCGCTTGCGGCCCCCGCCCACCAGAGCGCGGCCCGCAGGCAAACCCTTCCAAACCTGCCGGCCTTCGGCGGCTCGGGAACACCATTGCTTCCTCCTCTCGCTCGAGCCGAGCGAAACGTGATGTCTGCAGGGACTGGTTGGGCTGATGGAGCCCAGGCCCTGGACGCATGGCGGGGGGTGGGGGTGGGGGGTTGCGAGCTGCTGGAACGTGGTGTAGGAGCCCTTTCTCCTGCCTGCATGCTCCGGAAAGTGGGCAGGGCCAATGTGTCCGCGCTGGGACTTTGGGCCACCGAGGTGCAGGGGGCAGTGAACTGGGGCAAGTGCAGCCAAGGCCTAGACTGGAGCTTCGAGCGCGGGCGGGCCGCGGGCGAGCGAAGAGCCGCCTCGCCTCGCGTGCCCGGCACTGCTGGCGCACCCCAGACCTGTCATGCGTCTCCCGCCCCCGCACGCCCCTCCGCAGTGGCCAGTCGAGCCCGCGCGGCACCTGGCCTGGTACTGTGTTCCGTAGTGCCTGTTGAGAGTGCTGGAGAGGGGAGGGTCTTTGGTGGAGCGCCCCCCCCCCCCCCCCGCCGCCGCCGCCGCCGCCGCCGCCGCGCGCGCGCGCACACACACACACACACACACGTGTGGATCAGATTGCCTCTCTGGGCCCCCTACCCAGGCCTCCAGGGTAAGGCTGAGGGGAGTGCTGAGGAACCTGCTGCACCCTGCAAGCCTTAGTACCCAGGAAGACCACAGGGCCACAGGAAGGGGTACCTGCCACCCAAAGTGGAGGCCACCAAGTGTCCCAGGCGATTGTCCACCTTAAGCTCCTGGAAAGATGAAAGGGGAAGATATTTGCCCCATTTAAAACTTTGTTGGCTCCAACTTCTGTGGTTACTTTCCTGCTTCCACCATCCTACATAGGTGAGAGCTGTGTACCAGCCAGTGGAAGGGGCTGGGGGAGCACTGGCTGGCCATGGAGGTCACTGTGGCACCTGTGTGTAGGGGATTCCTGTTGGCGGCTGTGGCTGGGGAGGGCAGAGGGTGTCTGACTTCCTCCGGGGCGCTGGGTGGGGGGGTGTCTTGGCTGACCTGTCCCTGTAGCTTCAGGACAGAGACAGGAGGTCTGGTGACAGTGGGAGGAACTGCAGTTCTTCTTCCAGCTTCACCAGATCTGTTGAGGGTGCAGAATCTCCTCTCTTCCTCCAGAGCCTCTGAGGGAAGGTGTGGTACATGCTCCTAGGATCAGAGAAGTATGTCCTTTCCACAGGTGTTACATGGCTTCAGAACCGAAGGGAAAGGACAGACCTTTCCAGGTTAACAATCTGTGGATCCATGTTGCACAGGGAATAATAAGGGTATAAACATTCAATTACTGTGATAAATCATCTCATCGCATGGCCCTCATGCAGTCTGCACTCTAATTGGATTGGGCTCTGGCTGGTTTCTCTGGTCCGTGTAGCTCCCAAGGGTCAAGCTGGTGAGGAACCTAGAGCAGGCTCCCCGAGTTATCCAGCCTTCACTGGGCCAGCCTGCCCACTTCCAGTGTGACCATTTGGAACACTAGGCAGAACTTAGTTCCCTAGAGCTGTCAGCTTCTTAACCCCAAAGAGTACTTGTGGAATCCTTACAGGGTTGAGAGTTTAACTTTTAAGCAGAGATCTTAAAAATAGCCCCAGTGTTTGACCCTGTAGACTGCTGCTTTTAATAAATGGGAGGGGAACAAAAGCAGCATGTAGTTATGGCTGTAGCAGAGGGCCTCCTGTGGCCGCAGAATCCCGGGAAAGACTACTCAGGAGCCAAGACCTCAAGAAGAGGAGGGGAGTGGCAGGAGGATGGCAGTTTCACCAGGTATAGTTTCCTGGAAGGAATGGGCCCAGTTCAGGAATCTCTGGCCTTGGTAATTTCTGTCTGTTGTGTCTTCCAAAAGAAAACCTTGCTCATTGCCAGGTGTGGTGGTGCATGCCTATAATTCCAGCTACTTGGAAGGCAGAGGCAAAAGAACCTCAAGTTCGAGGGCAGCCTGGGCAATGTAGTGAGATTCTGTTCCAAAATAAAAAATAAAACTGGGGGTGTAGTTCAGTGACAGAGCATCTCTGAGTTCAGTCCCCAGGATGAGAGAGAGAGAGAGAGAAGGAGGCAGAGAAGGGGAAGGAGGGAGGGAAAAAGAATGAGAATATTTTGCTCTTGGTGGGGTGGGTTGGGCACACGTAGGTGGAAGACTCCTGCTTAGCCCTTTAGTCCTGCTTTGAGCACCATTCCTGAATTTTTTAGCCTTCTGAATGCTCACTGTCCCCTTAGGTAGTTATTTGTATGTGTACTATTGGATGGTGGTCAAAAACATAGACTCTAGGCTAGAATCTTTCTATCTCCTTTACCAAGTTTCTGTGAGGACTCAGTGTATGCAGAATGTAGCCTGTACTCTAGTGTAAGCTCTGTATTGTTCTGACACTGCCTGGCATCCAGTATTTAGTGCATGTTAGTTGAAGCAGTGAAGGATTTTCACCGAAAGAAAGGCCTTGGCATGTGCAGGAGGGCCTGGTGAGTCCCTGCTGCTGGGACCTCTTCACATTGCACCATTAGTTTCAGAAGGATCCGTCCACCACAAGTTGGATTCTGGAGTTGGTGAACCCCATTTCCTGCCACTGCCCTGTAGCTGGCCTTCTAGAGGCAGTCTTGGTCATCCTGATGCCAAGGGGACCTCAGAGTGAAAGAGTTGTGCAGTGTCCTGCCTAGGGATCTGCTGATCTGGGCATTTCCATTGTCCAGTCCGGGTTGGCACCTTCCCTATGTGTGTGTGCGTGCACTGGTGCCAGTACAAGAGCAGCTCAGGGCCTTCATTCTTCCCTGACTCACTGCAGGCCGAAGGAAACTCAGCCAGTAGTTGCATTCACTGAGAGGAATTGCTTCTGCACATTAGAATTCTGGACTGTGTGGGGCTGAAGGAAATTGCACTCTGGGCTGGGGCTAGGTGGAGTATGCTGAAATCCCAAGTTCTTACTAAGGGATCTGCATTTGCATTCAGAATAGCATTCAGGATACTCTGAGACTGTGAGCTCATTTTATGAATCAGAACCATTACAGCATAACTTTGGTGCTGGAAACTGCTCTTTGGAATCCAGATCACCCTCCCTCCAACCCCAACACACGCACACTTACTCTGGCTCTCACAGGTCACACAAGTGGGAGCAATAACAGTTAGTGGGGGGATTAATTCAGATTCCAGAACCACACCCACACTCAGAACACCATTCCTGGATGGTGTGTGGACGGGCACCCTGGCAGTGACGGTGAAGGAAGTCTAGAGATTCATGGGAATGAGGCCTGGGCAGACTTAAGTTCATACTCTAGCTTTTCCATTGCAGCATGTTTTGGGGCATTGTGTAACTTTCTGAGGCTCAGTTTCCTCACCTGTAAAATGAGGAGGATTATAATACTTCTTAGGATAGCTTTGAAGGTTGAAGAAGATTATGCAGGCCAGATGGTTGGTATCATTTTACTAGTTCCAGGCCCAGTTCCTGTTGTCTTTTACTCCTACCAGGGAAGAGGAAATGAAGAGTGTCCTGCTTGTGGTAGGAGAACAGTATCCCAGGACACTGGTGCTTGTGCAGATGAAACTCATGAAGTTTTGTTTCTAACTCCTTAGGCCCTGTGCACAACTGTGTGACCCACTGCCCCCAGAAGGTCCCAGCCCCTGGCGTCTGCATGCCTTTGCAAGGGCCTCTGTCCTTGCAGAGGAGGGTTAAGAGCTCAGCTTCTCTGAGATCAGACTGTGCTCTGGGGAACCTATCTGCCTGCCTAGGCCTCAGGCTAAATTGCTCTTGTGGGTAGGCTCCAGGAAGGCTGCTTTCTCAGCTAAGAAACCCCCGTGTCTTTGGGTCACCTGAAGCCTCCCAGTGTGACCTAGATGGAGGTTTGGGGAGGGGGCGGGAGGGTAGGCGGGGACACCATGATATTCTCTAAGAAGAAAGTTGCCACATGTCAGAAAAGAGCTAAGATTTTGCTGGATGGGGTGGTGGTCTCCCTGTGGGAGGTGGTTGCTGGCTGTGGTTTGTGGGGACTGGTAGGGGGAGTGGGACTAGAGGCCTGTGGCTTGCAGATCTTGTGCTTGCTCTTCCAGGAATGCAGTCTCGTGTTGTGGGCAGCTGGGGAAGGTGTTCCCTGTTCTCTCTGCCTTTCTCCTCAGCCACAGGGTGAGAGCGTTTTTTTCTAAGCACTGCTTCTTCCTCCAGGAGTCTCTAGAGGGAGAGGGGAGCAGCCAGGGTGAGGTTTATCCAGGGCAAAGCTTGGTGAGAGGGCAGTGCACCAGGCTTGCAGCTTAAAGGGGGTTCTCTCAGGCCACCCAACTTCTCTGGTAGTGGAATCCAGAGAGGAAGGAATGTGGTGAGGGTTTTTGTTTCTCAGCTTTTCCCGATAGTTGGGCAGACAGTGGCTCCAAATCCAGCCCACTATTGGCAAAACTTGCCAGTTCTCTAGAAGGGGAGGCCCCTGGAGCCCAGAAGGGAGCTAAAGAGGTGACTTGCAACCAGAGTGTGTGTTGGCTGCCTCTTCAGCCTCCTCCCAGCCAGCAACAATTCCTGGGGCAAGCACCTGGCTCCTCACCTGACCTTATTCTCTCTGAGGCCCCAGCTGGCCACGGGTCATAGTCCTGGGCTCCCTATCTCTCAGGAGTCATCCAGTGCTGGAAAACACTCAGAGACATCTAGTCCTGCTCCTTTGCTTTCAGGTAAGGAAACCAAGAGGCTGTGAGTTGCTTGAAATTGCCAGAGTCACTACTTTCACAGGGGGGGTGGGGGGCAGTGAAAAGAGAGGCTGTGTTTGTGACCTCCCCAGGATCCCTGCCACTTGGAAGTTGGGAGGGTTGCTTCAGTACAGGAAGAGCCCAGAGGAATACTGTCTCGGGTCCTGGGTGTGGCTCAGCTCCCAGCTGGCTCCATAGTTATTTATTTGTCTGTTTGTGTGTGCATGTGCGTGTGTGTGTGTGTGAGTGTGAGTGTGTGTGTGTAAGTGAGCTCTGTGGTTGAGAGGCTGGATCTGAGCAAAAGCAGTACTCACACTATGTCAGCTATGCAGCGCACAGATTGGGCTTTACAGGGACAGTCTGGAGAGGAAGAAGTGGGGCAGAGGCCCCTCTACACGGTGGCTGCTGGTACTCTTTCTGTCCCTGCTGCAAGCCTGCACACTTGAGCATCAAGAGCCTTTCCATGTTGTTAGCAGCTGCCTTTCCTTGCTGGTTCTGGGCAGAGAGGTGCCAAAAATAACCAGGCAAGCACTTGTATTTGTGGGACACATTCACTGTGGTGGTCTCTGCTGCTTGCTTTCTGCAGGCCCTGTGTCTTTGCCCTCACCCCGCTCCTACTTCCTGTGCCCAGCCTTTTCCAGCCTCCTTCAGGCTGTGATACCTTCCCATTTATTGCTGCTCTTAGAGTAAGTCCAGGAGAATGGTGGCTCATCCTGGGGGGTCTGGAAGCTCTGCCAGGTACTATCTTGGAAATACTCTTGCCCCACTGTGTCCCTGCAGGCT